TCTCATGACAAATATTTAGGCCTCCCCCCCTTTGTTGGTCGAAATAAATGAGCCACATTTAATGCTATTAAGGATCGTGTACTTCGAAAGCTTCAAATTTGGAAGGGTAAATTCTTTTCGATGGCTGGTCGGGAGATTTTAATTAAAGCGGTTGCTCAAGCCACTAATACATATACCATGAGGCCTTGTTTGGCACATCGGACTGGATAGGAATATAAGGTTCGGATTAGATTGGTTATGACTGGAATGGATTAAGATATATCATGTCTTGTGTTTGGTAATTAGTCGAGCTAGATTAAATTAAATATTAAATATAATATCTAAAGTTTATATTTATTAAGATAATAAAATTTATTTAAAAAAATAATTAACAAATATATAATTGAAAAGATCAAATTCTTATATTTTTGGGTATATCTTAAGAAAAGATAAATTTCAATTACTAATCTCCTAAAAAATAAAACTCAAGAAATATTAAAGGAAAAATTATTACTTCCCACCTATGAATGGGAGAAAATTGTACAAAGACCAATAAATTGCATTAAGAAAAACAAAAAGATTTATCACTTCTAGGCTGATAAAGTCAAATCGAATCATCTCAGAGTAATAATTAAGATTTTCCTTCGTGGCCCAGATCACTAAATTGAAGGAAAAAATAAAAATAATTCTTAGCTCATAGATTCAAACTAAAACATTTCATATCACTATAATTACGATCGAGATCACGAAATCCTAGTAAAAGATTTCAATTTTCAAACTTCACATCGATCGAAAACAAATAAAAGCAAAAACAAATTCAGATTCAAGCACAAACGACACACGTCACAAACCCCACCAAATTAATGATAATAAAAAGAAAAACAAAATCAACAAAATGTGAAAGGGATAGAAAGGACCAAAGAGATGAGAAGAGCCCGACTTTCTTGGTGAGACCACCACCATTAGCGGAAACGAAGGAAGTGTCGGTGACGACCTCTTTCAAATGGAGCAGAAAATTTTGGGATTTTAATCACATCATCCAAACATTATATGTGACTTCTCTTTGTCAACAATACCACTAATGCAAACCCAGCCCGTTAGCTCCATTGGTTGAATTGATTGAAAAAAAAAAGAGGAAAAAGAAAAAGAAAAGAATTCTAGAGGAAGAAGAAAATCCCTTCTTTTGATCTACCTGATCACAACGTTTTCGCACAATGTTGGCGTGGAGATTCAGTAGTGGTCAATGGGGCGCCTAGGACTATGGCGGTGGACGTGATTTACAGGTCGACGACAAGCTTTGGGATGATTCGCGGTTGGCTGGGTGGACGTAGATTTCTTTGGGAGGTAGGAGAGAAGATGGTCAAACCCTTTATCCAGTCAAAGGAGTGAGAAAACCCACCCTTTTGGGGGGACTATAAGTCCAGCATGTATTGGACTTTTTCAATTATTGGATAGGTTATCCAATCCAAAATGATCACCAAACGCAGAAATAGGATAAATAATCCTAGTCCCAATCCTTATCCAACATAACAAACACAGCTTGAGTGTCTTTCGAATTCCCCAATCTCTTTGTCATGATATTCAAGCTTTAATTACATGATTTTTGGTGGGGAGGTGGTGAATCGGAGAGGAAGCTTCATTGGGTCAAATGGGAGCAATTGTGTAGACCCAAACTTGATGGAGCAATGGGAATTCGAGATGTGGGAGCTTTTAATCAAGCTTTGTTAGCCAAACAATGTTGGCGTATAGTTTCTAGTCCGGACTCTCTTGTGGCTAGGATTTTTAAAGCAAAATATTTCCCTCATGGGTCTATTATGGATGCAGTAGCGAGTAATAATTTCTCCTTCACTTGGGAGAAGTTTACTTTGGGGCAGAGATCTGTTAAAAAGTGGGTTAAGATGGAGAGTGGGATCGGGCAAGAATATTAAGATTTTTGTAGAGCCTTGGCTACCAAGGCCTTATTCGTTCTGCCTAATCACATTTGCCACAGCGGAGATTGAAGCGTGGAAGGTGGAAAATCTCATTGTGAACAAGCAATGGGACCAGGCTTTAGTGAGCAGCTTGTTTTTACCTATTGATCAAGAGGTTATTTTTAGTATTTCCTTAAGTTATGGTGCAAGTGAGGATAAGTGGATGTGGCACTTTGAATCTAAGGAGCGCTATTCTGTTCGGTCCGGCTATCGCCTAGCTATGGAGCTTCTGGACGATCGAAGGGGTTCAAGAGGTAGCAGAGACCGAGATTGGTGGATCGAGCTCTGGGGTCTCAATATCCCAAACAAAATTAAAAAATTTATGTGGAGAGCTTACAATAATATATTGCTTTGCCAGGCTCTAGCTCGACAGGGTATTCCTTGTTCTAAAACTTGCAGGCGTTGTGAAGAGGGCGAAGAGACTACTTGGCATGCTTTATGGTTATGCAGTGAAGCTCGACAAGTGTGGGACTCTTGTGCAATTTGGCAAAAAATAAAGCAGTTGAATGTAGGAAGTTTTGATGGCTTGTGTGTGACTTGGAGCCAGATTGCCTCTCAGCTGAATTTGGAGATTTTATGTGTGATCTCGTGGGCCATTTGGACGTATAGAAATCGAGTACTACACCAGAAATCTTCTAGTATTGTTGCTGAAATTTTGGAGATGGCGGGAAGGGTCTTGGGCGATTTTCAAAATTGTTCGGATCCGTTAATAAAGCCTCCACATACTCAGCCCATCACAATGATAAGTGGCATCCTCCACCAGTTGGCTGTAGATTAATACAGATCCTTCTGTTAGAGATGGGATGGGGTTTATTGGAGTAGGCGTTGTTGTTCGGGATGCTGATGAAATTGTACTGGCATGTCTAGCAAAGAGACTTTATGGCTTGTTCTCTCCGTTTATTGCAGTGTATGGCCTTGAGGGACGGTCTGCAGTTTGCTCACCAAAGTGGATTTATGATTCATGAAGTAGAAGTGCATTTGGTTACAGTGGGGGAATGGTAATGGGAATAGAAATGAGAATAGTAATGGGAATAGGAATGAGAATGGTAATGGGAATGGAATGGAAAAGAAAGTTGATTCATTTGTTTGGTTGTAATTTTAAGAATTCTCTGGAATGGAACATGAATATTTTCATGTTGACAAACTTACCCTTATACTATATATAACACTAATATTTTATCTATCAATATAATATATAAAATGTAATATAATATAATATAATTATTATTATATAATATATTATATAATTATGATATATAA